GGCCAGTGGGTGTCACAGTGGCTAAAGGTGCTAGAGTCCCACATGGCCGACTGTGGTTCAAGTCCCAGACCTGGCAGCTTGCTTTCTTGCTTTCCCTTTCTTTCTCTCTCTCTCTCTCTCTCTCTCTGGTCAAATTTAAAAAACAATAATAATAGATGGAATTAAATCATTCTTTTTAAAAATTTCTATATTTTGAACATTTTCATTTTGTCTTAAAAATAAGTAGGTATTGGGGCCAGCAGTGGTTAAGGCACTGGACTCCCACGTGGCTGACCGCAGTTCACATCCATGACTTGGCTGCTTGAAATTCATGCCTGGTGCATGTGTGGCATGCCTCAAATCCTGAGAGAATGGAGGAGAGGGGATTGTGGTGGGCCCATCCCCCACGGGGTGATTTCTCACTTTCCGTCTCTCTGTGTCTCTGGCAAGTGTACGTGCCCTATAGCGAAAGTTCTCTTTAAAAAAAAAAATCAGTAGGTATCACACAAATTGCACATATTGGGGCCACACAAATAAGTGTGTACCTTTCCACTTGCTGACAGAGTTCATGAAACAGTCTCTCACAATGACTTTGTGTTTGACTCAAAGTTAGGGAAATAAGGAGTGAGGTGGTGAACACCTGTGCTCGGCAGCATGGGGCCAGGCTCTTTCCAGCCTAGAGTTCCTATATAGTGTACCGAAAAATCATATTGTAGCAGTTATTACACGAATGCAAAATATTATTAACTAAAAACAGAATCCCATGTGGCTCGGCTTCCCCTAAAATTGGGTGAGACTTGTAGCAGATCAGCCTTTCTTCCCAACGTCTGCATTATGAAAGTGCCGTGCTAGCTGCCCATGCCAAGAGCTCAGTGAGAGTGCAAGACCTAACTTAACTAAGAATCAGAAGCCCCGCATTCTCTCACACCTGCGTGGCCTGAGCAGTCCCCTGTGGTACTCGTCTATGAAACATGGTGCCTTGCCCTGCCGACCTCAGAGCCTTGCTGGTGACACTAAAGACATCTTTTTTTCTGCTTTGGAACCATGATGTATTCTATAAATAAACTTTTTTTTTTGAGAGAGAGAGAGAGACAGGGAGAGATCTTTGCTATAGGGTGCACATGCTCAGCAGAGACTCTGTAACAGAGAGAGAGAGAACGTGAGAAACCATCCACCGGGGGATGGCCACGCTGCAGTCCCTGCTCCAGTCTCCTCTCAGGGTAATTTGGGCTTGCACGCACATGTGCGCAGTATGAGTTTCAATTAGATGGGTCCAGTACTCAAACCGCAGTCGGGCATGTGAGAGTCCAGCACCCCAACCACTACACTGCCTTCTGGCCCCTATAAATATACTACTGCTATTAATATTAATATTATTATGTAATTGAAAAAAAATATGAGAAAATTCATCTCCTCCTAATAGCCCACCCACATGTGACTAGCTAAAATATTTGACTAGAAGTTTTTTGTTTTTGTTTTTGAGAGGTTTTTGCTATAGGGCATGTGTGCTTGCCAGAGAGAGAGACAAAGAGACAGAAAGCGAGAAATCACCCCCCAGAGGGGATGGCCTCACCGCAATCCCTTCTCCTCTATTCTCCTCTTGGGATCTTGGGCACGCACGCACACGTGCCTGGTGTGAGATTAAGTCACCGGGTTCGGGGGTTCGGGACTTGAACCGCAGTTGACTACATGGGAGTTCAGTGACATAGCCATTACACCAACTGCTGGTCCCCAGGAGTTGGTTTTTTGTTTGTTTGTTTGTTTGTTTTGTTTTGTTTTGTTTGAGAGATTTTTGCTTTAGGGTGCATGTGCTCACCAGAGAGAGAGACATAATGTGAGAAATCATCCCCTAGGAGGAATGGCCACGCTGCAATCCCTTCTCCATTCTCCTCTCAGGATCTTAGGCGCACATGCACATGCACCCAGCTTGAGTTCTAACCAGCTGGGTCCAGGACTCGAATTATAGTCCACTACATGGGGGTCCAGCAACGTAACCATTATGCCATCCGCTGGTCCCTGACAAGATTTCATGAGAGGAGCTGAAATCTACCCTTTGTGATAGATTGATCAGAAAAAATTATCGTGGTACAGATACTCCCAAATGCATTTGTTTAAAGCTACCTACTTTTACAAAATTTTCTTAACCCATTACTAAGAAGTTTCTATTAAGGAATCAAGACTAGAAGGAAACTAAGCTAATCATTAGTCAATACAGTAAGACCTACTAAGCTTGTCAAGTGAACTTCCACCTGCAATACCTAAGTCCGTCACAGGCCACAGGCAGACACGCATATGCACACACACAATGCAGGTTGCTATATTCTGTCTTGTATTTTAGCAACATTTTAAAGTTTTTATCATATAACCAAATTTTATCTTTAAGTAGGAAAACCCTACAAATAATAAAACCCTACAAGTAAAACCCTACTTTTAACAGTGTCTAACAGTTATTTGCTACTATATGCACTAATCAGTTTAAAAATTAGTTCACTTAACAAACAAAGAAAACCATGAAAGATGTAACACAAAACTCCAAATGCAACCTTTTTTTCTAGAAATGTGTTGAAATTTTTGTTGTGAATGGAAGAAAAACAGGGAACACATTTGCTTGTTTTCTTCAAGACCCACACTGAGTTTATTGAATATTCTGGTCCTTTCTCCTCTAGCCACTACTCCTTCATTGAACCACAAGATATATCTTTTTGGAAAAGTAATGGAGTCCAGCCTACCTAACTTCACTGATCTCCAAGGACTACTGAAAGTTATAAAACTTACTGTGGAGCTCTGATTTGCCAGAAGTTAGTAGAAAAAGAACTGACCCCTTCAGAACGCCATCAAGAAGATCGAGCCCAAAATGATACTTTTAAGTAAGTAGTAATTTTCAGTATTAGCACATTGAGTGATCTCAAAAGTACCTTGCTGAATAAATGTGATAGGCTTAGGGATTCGTGAATCAAACACAAGAACTGGCTTCCTGTACCACTGGCATTGTTACGAATCCTTGGGAATTTTAGTTCCTTCTCTTCCTTTTTTTACTCCAAATTCCCGAGGCATGGTTTTAAACATTACTTTGACAAAGTCCCAATTCTTAAGGGGTCTGGCACAGTTTTTGCTGCTCCTATGACAACAGAGAAGCGTTAGGTGATTAATTAATTACAAAGCACTAAAAATAAACCACAGTTTATTTTTTCAGATTTTTGAATTACAAAATTATTTAAATGTCATCTGTAATCGAAGTGTTACATTACTAGGTAATGAAATTACTGTAGCACTTAATGACGTTAGGAAACTGCATGCAAAAAAATATTTGTACACAAGGTGGGGATGTTAGCAACAAACTATAGTACTTTTGTTCTGCTGAAAAAAAAAACACACACACAATAAATAAGAGCATTAGCTTCCTCGAGCAATTGCTGAAGGGTAAATTCAGCTTTTCATGAAAGGATAGCAAGTAGGGGCACAGAGCGGCATGGCAGATCTGGGAGCACACGTCACAAGGGTAGCAGGGGAAGGAGTGGAAGAGGACAGCTCACCAAAATGAGACGTCTTGGAACTTCGTAAGACTAAATTGTACGTCCACATAGTAAGGATTCAAGAATTCGGTCTCGAATACCTACATTCCTGTTGACTCTTATTTGGATATATAAATCCAAAGAACTAAGTCCTACGTAAAGTTACTTCTATACTTCGCATAAATATACCCACTTTCCAGACAGATCTCCTTCCAAAGCTTTCGACTCACAATCCTCCCCTGCCTTTACAAACAGCTTTTCTTAACCAAATGCTGGCTATAACCTTGATCTGTCAGAGACAGTATCTCTCACTTGATTCATGCTTCTTATGTAAAACTTTAATTTTTAAAACTTACATTAGTATAGTCAGCGCAATTTTTAAAAAGCTATGAATATGTCACAAAATGTATTTCTCATAAAATTTTGAGCTTCATAATCTATATCATCAATTCGTAAATGAAATGGATATATGCTAACCCCAGAACCAGTGTGTACACATTAATTACACTTCTCAGATATAGGTAATTAATTTTATTGTATTTAGTCCCCAAACTTCATTTATTTGCTACAGTAAAATGTATTTACTCTCAGGTCCTTTCATAAGTCCATGACGGCCTCATCAGGAACACAGAACTTGTTGGTTACAAGGGAGCACGCACGTGTGCCGTGAAGCAATGAGTCACAGACGTATTTTCAATTTTAAGATTCTTCTCCCAAGATGAACAAAACAGCAATTGTTATTTGCAAGCTAGGAAGTGCAGTATCTGTTCCCGAATTATCTAAGGATGAGTCAGAATCTTAAACCCAAAGAAAAGTAATAAATAATGACAACAGATGTTGGTAAACCTGTGCCCCCCTGTGCGGTGTGTCTACGTGTTGTTTTGCCTTGATGTGCTGTCAGCCGCCTCTCACCTGGGAGTACTGATATCTTATCAAAGCCCGAACAGTTCCTCTTCACAACAGACAGATAATAGTGCCTTTCAATTTATCATACTGAAAGTCTAAAAGAACCATGGGAACGATTGGTCAGGTGACAGCTTGATGGACAGTTTGACAGCCCTTAAAGCATCATGGGAAATGGTTGTCAGCTGATTTTCAGAGCGACCAGGGAGATAACCTTCAGAATGATGAGAAAAACAAAAATCTGAATATTCGTGTAAGATCCAGTGGCCGGGTTCACTTAAGTGATAATAGGTATGAATTTAGATGACTAAAAATGTTGTTATCAAACCTGAGAGGATTTCTAAGTCCAGAAATGTCCTTCATTTTGTAGACACCTTTTACGTTTTTATTCCAATGTCATTTGAAAAGTACATACATATTATGGGGCTTTTGGTTTTATAGAGACTAACACATTAAGTGTTTAACATGTTAGCTGACCTATAATATTCTCTAGAGTTCAAATCTGCTTCCTTTTAGCGAACTCCTCATATATCATTTCCAAACTATAGTTTGCACATTACATCTCTAATTAGAAAGCCTATCATAAAGAATCATGTATTGTATGGGACCAGCAGTTGGCATAATGGCTATGTCGCTGGACTCCCACGTAGTCGACCGTGGTTCAAGTCCTGGACCCAGTGGCTTAAACTCACACCGGGCGTGTGTGCATGCATGCCCTAGATCCCGAGAGGAGAATGGAGGAGAAGGGGTTGCAGCATGACCATTCCTCTGCCATCCCTCCTCAGGGGTGATTTCTTGCTTTCTGTCTCTCTGTATCTCTCTTTCTGGAGAGCGCACACCCCCTGTAGCAAAATCCTCTCTAAAAAAAAAAAAAAAAGAAGAAGCTTTAAAAAAATACAAAAAACTCCTTCCTTCATACTATTCATCCAAAACTCACCCATTACCCACATTTTGCTATATGTGTTTCTGTTCTCTGTCTCTAGCTCACGCTCTTCTCCTCACCCATTCTGCTATCTATTTCTCAATAATTTTAATATGGAGACATGAGATTAAGTTTTCGTCTGATCTATCTTTGTACTCCTTCACAAAACCTAGCTACTTACAAAACCTAGCAATATTTTCTCTTTTAAAAAAAATTATTTATTTATTTAATTCCATTTGTTATTATTATTTTTTAATTTGACCCAGACAGAGACAGAGAGAAAGAGAAAGGGGAAGCAAGAAAGCAAGCCATGTGGTCCGGGACTCGAACCATGGCCGGCCATGTGGGAATCCAGTGCTCTTACCCACCATACCACCTGCTGGCCCAGCAATATTTTCTTAAAAATATTTATTAATGAACGATGAATCATATTCAGCCTAAACCTAGTTTTTATTCTTTTAGATATGTGTTCATATAGCAATATAACGTACTATATTATTTTTTGAAAATGTATGTAATGTTTTACAAAATATTCCTCTTTCCCCTAAAACTATTATCTGATCAAAAAGTGACCCAATAAAATAAAATAAAATAAATAAAATAAAATAGATTGCCACAGAAGTGCCAACAGATTTTTCCAAAGGATGGGAAAGATAAAAGCTTCATTTGCTGCTGGTTCTTTGTCTTGATGGGGACAAACAGACCAACTGTAGACGCTGGGCAAGAAAGCAGGGACTTAAAACAGAAGCTCTTTCCAAAATACACGGTAGCCATTGTGGAAACTGGAGCCATTTGGCTGCTTGACACTTCTGGGATAACACTCTGCTTTCACAAATTTTGATGGTTTAGATTCACATTCCAGCTTCATTTTCCAAATCCAGTTATGCCAAAGCCGGGCAAGTCAGACAACTTGTGACAGAAACATTAGTGTTTTCCAGGGAATGGAAAGAAGCCAGTAGATCATTTAAAGGACTGTTAACAAAATGTTCATATGTAATTCTTCACAAGAACACACATTATTTGGGAAAATATGAAACTGAAGCTTGTAAATGCAAACCAAAATACTTTCAAGAACTATATGCAAATTTTAGTACTTGGAGAGTGAGAAAAACACATTGTGCTTATTTCAAACTTGGAGGGCAAGATGTGGGAGGAAGAGTTATAATAATTGATACATGGACAAGGTCCAAAATGCTACAGAACAACTGAATTCAGAATTATTTCTGAATCAGCACTGTGGTTAAAAAATGATTTTCCTTTCCGTCGAATAAATCCATGCAGCATCAAGTTTTAACAGATTCCAGATGTAGTCCCAAGGTCACCTGATATAAATTAAGTTTCATTGTTAACCACTCATTTAGTCATTTAAGCCAACTAAATAAGCTAAATTAGAATGCCAGTACCTAAAGCCTTAGAATGTATTTCATGGTAATGCCAACATTTGTGGTCAAAGTACAGAATAAATACTAGTATTAAATCTTAAGTGACTCAAATTTTCACAGAAAGAAAATTTCAGACTGAAAATTCCACACAAAGGAATGGATTTTTTATAGTTAAGTCATAAAAACATGAACGTATTACACTCACTTTCCCATTATAAATTTCAATATAGAAAGTCATTTTGAAGGGCACAAAAGTTGTATATTTTGGTTGATGCAGGTTATCTAAATTACAGACTTGTTCAACTCCATGCTTACATAAAGTATATGAAATTGGTGCTCTTTTGGCTCAAAGCATGTGAGTTCCACTCTTTGGCTTTATCACTATGGTGTAGCAGGATCTCTCTTGTGAGACACAACGAGAATCTTGGGTCTTGACCCAAATTAGAACATTCGAGTTATTTATGTTAGGGGTTTCCTCTGTCGAGGCATATACATTATGCTTCAACTGTGGGAAATTCTGGATTCATTTTCCAAAATTTGGTCTATACTTTTCCAAATTTGGTAGATCTTGGTATTCCAAATACATGAATCTCTTTTTATTTTATATAAGCTTTCTTTTGTCATTTTGTTATTTTTTAAATTAAAGAATATGTAAGTTGCAGCAAAAAATTGGGCTGATGGTTTCAAGATCCTCTCTATTTGTCATACTTTTCGTATACCTTTCCAGCAAACCGGAATCTTGTCAGAGAAGTAAATCAATGAGCATGTTGAGTTTTTAAAGGTATTTAGAAATGCTATCTAATTTTCTTAATGCCAGAAAGTAGCCATTAAAGAATTGAGCCTAAGGCTGCCTTTATAGGTAAAAATATTTAGTTTTGTTTCATTTTTGTCAATAAAATTAGAGAAAAAGAGGGATATGATGCAGTATATCTTGCTAATACAATTTTAAACATGTTATTTAATTATGTAAGCTGCATATTTAAATTTATAAGACGACATTTTAAGTGGGAAAGGAATTCTAAGTTTTTATACAACCACTTCTCAAAGTTCTGATTTATAATTATTAAAACATTTGTGATAAAATTTCTGAACTTCACATATGCTGAATAATCATAGGGTTATCAAAATTGCACCTTATGGGGCTCAAC